GCCCCCGGCCCTGCCCCGCTTCCCAGGGCGCTCCCTGCAGCTCCTGCCCGGACGCGGCGGCGGCGGTCGCCTGGGAGGAACGGCTCCTGCGGTTGTGTCCCGTGTTTCAGCACAACGCCCTCGTAAAAAACAGCGCATCATGAGGTAGAATTAAAAAAGTAACACTCAGTGCATATTAACAGGCATAGAATTAAAGTCACAAGCAACCCACCAGTTCAAGGACTTCCTGACAGGAGAAACCAAAGCCGGCCATGAAAGCGAGCAAGCAGCCCAAGAACTGCTCTGATTCCTCGGGCACTTCACCACCTCAGAACCGAACGCGGTTCAAGCCTGGGAGACCAGAACGCAGGCCCTTTAGCGATGTTCAGTAAACCCAAAACCAGGAGACGGCAGCCTCAAAGCAGGGACAGCGAGCGCTTGGGGAAAAGCCGCCCTGGTCCAGTGCAGAGATGGGGGGAACCCATTTGTGATCCCCCCCAGGCCACCCCGATGCAGGGGAGCGCAGCAGGCACCAGTGCTCACACAGGCACCCCCACTCTGCTCCAAAACGCTCAGGAACAGGAAACAGCTCCTCTGTGCTGACTCACACCAAAACGCAGTACCCACGGGTTCCGCCACACTCCACTACTGGAGCTTTGATTAGTTTGGTTTTGGTTGGCTTTTCTCCCCCCCCCAACAGCCCGGCCAATTAAAAACCCCTTGCAGCTCATTTGCAGAAATCCTTGTTTTCCACAGCTGCCCTCGGTTTCCTGCTCACTTCACCTCCACTGAGCCCTGAGCTGTTTCTGGGCAGCTCCAGCACCCAGGTGCCAACGGAAGGGACGCGCTTCCACCCGGTCTCAGATGTTCCCGCACATTTTATCCATGCAATTCACTATGCCCTGTTTCTCATGGCTTGGCTAATCAACTTAAAGTGGAAAAAAACCCCCGACTTTTAAAAAACGGTGTTCCTTGCACGCTGTTCCAAAGGTACGAGCGTTTCAACTTCAGAGCCAGCATTTTGGGAACAGGGCAGCTCTCTTCATTTACAGTTTCTACCTCTGAGTTCAGGACAAGACTCAGCAACAGCAGCACCGCTGGGAGGATTCGCTACAGAACATTTCGACCTATGAGCCGCTGCCCGAGAAGAAAACGCACTTTTGTCTGCGTTTCAAGTCAACTGAGCGCGCTCCTCCTCCCCCTCCAGCTCAGGCTGTGTTCTACTGCGACACCACCACCACATCCTGCTGTGAAAAACCCACGAGAAGACACCCACAGCCCTGGCCGTGTTCCTGTGTGACTGCTCTGGTGATCCTGCTCTGGCAGGGGTTGCACTGGGGGAGCTTCCCAGGGCCCTTCCAGCTCCTGGCATCCTGCGGTTGGTTCTGTGACTTCCACCCAACAGCAGCACATTGCTCAGCTGCGTGCTCCTGACCACCGGAACGCAGTCCTTGAGCAGTCGGTTGCTAGAGATGATGAAAACCCCACGCAGAAGTAATCGACTAGTCCTCAGGTTACTAGATCCCCAATATTGAAGGCTTTGTATTACTAAAGAAATTCTCCAAGAGAGGAAAGTTAAGATTTTTTTTCTCATAATGCAAGAGGAGGTTTAAGTTTCAGAGACTTCTCCACCGAAGTATGGCACCTGCACCAATCCAGAACTACAGGAGGATCATCGGGCTCGTGTATTTCCAGCTCTCTCATCTTCACAGCTGTCTTCTGTTTCCTCAGACGCGTATTTTGCAAAAAATGCTTTGTAAGAGTCAACTTTTAGAAAGGGAGCTCTGTTGAGCCGGAAATACTGGATCTGAACACGAAACCACGACAGTCCTTTTCAGGAAGTGGTGAGTTCCCCATCACTGGTCAGTTTTCACAGTCACCTTGACAGGGGCTGACCCTTCTCATCTAAACTGTACTTTTACCTCAAGAGGTTGGACTGGATGGCCCTTGTGCTCCCTTCCAACCTGGTAAGCTATGACTCTATGGCAAAGCTTCCTGAAAAAAGTGTGTGATTTGTCAGCAAAACCTTACTGAAGCACTACAAAAAAACCCAACCCTGGAACACGTCAGTGATGGCAGCATCATGAAGTGATACAGATGTATGAGACGGAAGTAACTGTGCATTTACGAGGCCAGCTGTATGAACTTGAGGGGTACAATTTGGTGTTCATACTCCACATGTGATTTAATGGTGAACAGCAGCGCTTTCCACGCCTTACGGTAAGCCCGGTTCAATCCAAGCAGATCCTGCTGTAGACAGGCATGCTTTAATCTGCTCCCAGGCAGACAGCGCGTGTGAAGAAAGGCTTCTCTGGCGAAACCACGGACACGTCCTGCACAAACTCCTCTGGTGGTGACGCTGCAGGCAGCTGCGGGAGCAGAGTCACCGGGAAACGGCCCCAGCAGCACCGAGAGCTCTGCAGGGCCAAGCGCCAGGAGGTTCACGACACGGAAAGGTCTCCGCAACAGAAACCTGGCGCCGAGTCGTCAGAGCTGCCCAGGGGAGGCTGCCCAGGGACGCCCCTTCCAACCCGGTGCTCGGTGAGACATCCGCAGTGCCCACAGGGATCCTGCTCCTGCTTCCCTGCCCCAGCCTTTCCCAAGAAATCCTCTGAGGAGAAAACGCAGCTGCATCTCCATCCAGAATCTCCTCCTCCTTCTGCCAATAAACACGATATACGCAATCGCAAAAAAAAAAAAAATCGAGCGTTTTAACTGCAGCAAAACATTACAGAAAGTTGGCTCATTTTTCTGGCCAATCACCGAAAACTAAATTGATACAAGAAATGAAAATAACATTTTCTATTTTGTGTGTGACAGTGACTAATTGTTTCAGTGACACAGAAGAGCAGCTCATTATCTCGTGATCACCACGCTGTAGTTTCAGCAACAGAAGAGGCCAAGGCAGCGTACACGAGGCGCTCCCAGCTCCACTGCACAAGGAGCTGCCGTACCCGGGGAGCCTGGGCAAGCCTCGGCTGAACTGCCGGCCTTGCCCCTCCGCCTCTGTTCCGAATCGCCCGCTTCAAGTTGTGTTGAAGGAAATGGTCAAGAAGCCTCAGGGTGCAAACAAACCAGAACGACTCGATGGCACAGGATCAGCAGGAGCAGAGGCTGCTCGGAAGGCTGGAAACGCAGTGCATGGACCTGCGGGTGCAGCGTGAGAAAGCAGACAGTGCAGGGCTGGAAACTCCACCACCGGTATAGTCAGAGATCACAGTAACTGCGACCTTATCTGGATTTAGAGATTTCAGAAAGAACACACTTCAACTAAACTGAAGTAGAAACCACAAACATCTGATGGTCCTGCGGATGCAAGATGTGCCTAGAACTTTGGCTGGTACAGAGAAACACGTCCACTAAGGCACCCCGAGGCGATCTGACAGTGCGTTGGAGAAAACTTGGTGGTCAGCACCACGTCGTTGTGGGAGTAGAGGGAGCGGATCTCCTTCAGGGGACTGGCTTCTTTGGGCAAGCAGTCGACCAGTTCGCTGCAGTGCGCGTCGAACCCCAGCAAGCGGATCCCGAAGCCGTGCGGGGACGAGATCATCCGGCCGTCGGGGCTGAAGCACAGTTCTTTGATGTAGCCCCGGCCCACGTTGGCTTCCTCGATGCAATGTGTCAACCGCAGCGAGCAGCGCGGGGACACGGGGCGCACGGGGGCTCCTTCCTGGAACTCATAGACGCAGGTCCACTACGGGGAGAGCAGAGAGAGGAACAGTGGGAGAGAAGCACAGCGCTGCAATCCCTCCTTCCCTCCCACGGGACAACACAGGAGCGACTTATGGCTACGTTATCTGCTCGTCGATAAGCGTCTGACAGCAGACACTGGAAACGGGCTGGTGCCTCGGCATCTCCCCCGCTTTGAACTGCCTGTGCAAGACAGCTGCCTGCTGTCAAAGCCGCTTTTCTAATTAAACGGATGCCAGATACCATCTTTCAGATCTAGCTTTTATCTGGAAAGAGCCAAGCCCAATCCTTTGGCCAAGCATCTGCTCTAATTTAGTAAACATTTAAATTAAACCCACCATAAAGTAGAAGTCAGCCTCCTGTAGTTTACAGCTGACCACTGGCGTTTCGTGCCCTTAACTTCAGAAGGAAAGAAACCTCGACAAGTTTTCTGAAGGAATGTCGTGTTCTACAGCCAGCTCATTACCTGTGAGACAGCCAGGGGTTCTGATGTGTAACCTAACGAGCTAATCTCAGACCATATGCAGAACCAGCTCTACGACACAGTTTATGGCATGTTGAAAGGCACAAAGGAAGAGCTCTTAGTTCTGTTCCATGTATTCTACTGAAATAAACACAAAGGGAACAATACTAATGGACATTAATAGAAGAGAGTAAGGCAGGCACTAGGACTACGGGAAATTATAACTAGGGCAATCATCAGTATCGACTAACTCAGTGTCATATCAACAAAAAGTCCGTGCTGGACAGCAGTTTGACTCTAAAAGTTCACAGAACCGGCATTAAAATTTATACTTTTCCATTCAGGGCTCTACACTTCCCTAAGGGGTCACCATTACAAAGAGTGGCTTTCTTAAAAAAATAAACAGGAGAACAAAATAACGCAAGCCCAAACCACTCCCAGCCAAACCAATCTCAACCGGCTACCAAATTAACTGTTTGTTATTGGTCAAACGTTCAAGTAATTCCTCGTGGTTTTGGGAAACAGACACAGGAAGCCCGTGTCTTGAAAACAGCAGCGTGCACAACTGTCACAGCACCGATTCTGAAATAACCCCGGGAAATAAAGGTGCTTGGGAAGGACCGGCTGCTGGAATCGAGGCGTTTGAGGGCTCTGACCCCGCTTTCAGTTGTAAATGAACTGGAGCTAACCTGGAAATTTCCTCTTCAAAAGCAGGCGCCCCCAGACACAACCTGCAAGCTGCAGCTTCCTGCACACAGTCCACGGAGCAGCTTTCTCATGGTCGCTGAGCGCACCGCAGGCCGCCTGTCTGCGTGAGAACAGGGTCCCAGTGCAACACAGCTGCTGCTGCGTGGTGATTCAGACAGAAACGCACCCCAGCGCTGGCTGTAAAGTCTGCCACTGCCTCGCAGCAGCATTTAGGGAGTGACATCTGCAAGCTGCGGATGAGCTGCAGCTGGCGTTAACAACGCGGTACTTCAAGTAAGGGCTCGACGGGGATTCTGACAGTGAGATGATTGATGCCCCCTTCATATTTAACGTTCACAGACTCAGGATGAGACGTGAGACCAGGGCACTTTGACATTACGGAAGCACCGCTGCAGTCCACCACACTCGGCCCTATCGTGAGGCAGTTTGTGTAGATGCAGAAATACGCCACGAGGCTTTATCACAGCAGTGTAGGAGCATTCACCAGCACAGCAGCAGCTTCATCCTCAGAGCACCAATGGCAGTGGAAAACCTTCCAAAAGCACTTGAGGCATTCACGGAATCACAGACTCATTGAGTTGGAAAAGCCCTTTAAGAACACCAAGTCCAGCCATGCCCTGTCCACCACTGACCCATGGCCCTCAGCCCCTCATCTCCATCTCTTGAACCCCTCCAGGGATGGGGACTCCACCACTGCCCTGGGCAGCCCCTGCCAGGCCCTGAGAACCCTTTGGGGAAGAAATTTCCCCTCAGATCCAACCTCACCCTCCCCTGGCACAACTTGAGGCCATTTCCTCTCATCCCATCACTTGTTATGGGGAGCAGAGCCCGACTCCCCTCACTACCCCCTCCTTTCAGGAGCTGCAGAGGGGATAAGGTCTCCCCTCACCTCCTCTTCTCCACTTGAACCCACAGCTCCCTCAGCTGATCCCCATCATTCGGGTGCTCCAGACCCCTCCCCAGCTCCCTTGCCCTTCTCTGCCCATGCTCCAGCCCCTCAATGCCCTTCTGAGAGTGAGGAG